TGATGCAGCTACACAGTGGAGCGTCCTCCACTGCTTCAGCACCAACCAATACCCTCTTCGTTGGACGGGCAGTATCGGTGGTGATCCGTCCCCCTGCTATGACAAGTTGAAACTCTTAGTTACAGAGGTGGACACACACACACACACCAAGCTACATCATTTTGGTACTACAGAATAGAACAGTGTATACTGTATTTGATACACTGGTAGGGTCCACGGGCAAAGCCAAAATATCATTTTTGCATATTTTTGCTGTTTTGTGCGGCGGCGGCACTTTCATACCGGCACCACAGAGCATGTCCCCTCATCGCCAGCGCAACGCAGACAAACCTAACATTGCAGAGCCAGGCTTTTTGTTTCGACATGCCACACCAGTGCAAACTTGTGAGGCATTGGTGGAGCAGATCAAAGCAGCGCGCCGACAGCAGTCCTTCGAGATGGAAATTCTTAAAGAGCAGGTGAGATGGCCCACAGAGCAGTTGAAGACATTTTGCAAGCAGGATGTTTCCGGTTTTATACCCGGCGCCAGTAGGTTCCTTAAAGTCTTTTTCTAAACGTGACTAGGGATGGGGAGAGATGGGATGTTGTGTGCACAGGTCGCTCGCGCGGAAGATGCGAGGCGCTCACAGCAAGAAGAGCTGGAGCGGCTAAAGGAAGAGGCCAGATGGCCATTTGGTTTCTTTAAGCCTTTTTGTGCATTAATTGCTTGCTGGAGTCCGCAAGCTGGAACTGGGGTGTTTGCTGTGCATAAGTGGTACATTGCACCAGGTGACAAAGGGCTCTGTGTACCAGGAGAGAGTGAACAGACATTTGCAGTACAGTGTAAACCTTTCAAACATTTTATTTCTTTTCAACAATACTGTTTCTTCTTTTGATCTGTGGTTTTGCCAAGTGGCCAGGAAATCTTGCAGCATTTCAAGATTGCTCCAGTGGCCGCAACCTCGGATTAGCCCAGTTATAATCCGGGACGCAGAGATAGAAGAAATTCCCGAATATTCAGAATTTCAATATTCTATTTGAAACTGCTTCTGGTGCACGCGAAAAACAATTTCAAATAGAAGAAAAGGGCTTCGCCGGAGCATAAAAGAGGTGTTATATCATGTTATATAGCTACTTTTGCAAAAACCACTAGATAGCCTAATATCTAATATCTTCTATTTGAAATCTGTCCGGTGAGGTACATCTTCTAGTTTGTTTTGGATCTTCTATTTGATTTCATTTTTGGTCCACGCAGATTGTTTCCTTCCTTGCCGGTCCGTTGTTTCTTCACTGCAGATGGCACCTCTGGGAAATATGCAAGCATTGATGAATAGATCTAATAGATAGATATATAGATAGATACATATTCACAACAACACAGCAAGAATATCCAGAAACATGACCTATTTGGGAAAGTCCCTTTCACGAGGCCCCAATGGGACTGATCTTAGGGATAATTATTGGAATGTCTGATCTTCTTAACTTTGAGGGAGAAACCCTGGTGAGAGCAAAGCTCTGAAGATGGACTCATGGGGTAGGAAAAGGCTGCTTTGCACTCAGTTTCAATTAGAAGATATTACCAGATTATTTTGTAACACCAAAATAATAACATATACAGATACATGTCTTCTATTTGATGTGCTTGGTTGCTTTGGCAATATCTTCTATTTGACCTTCACTTGTTGTTCTGCTGTCTTGTGGATCTGACCTTCACAAAAAGCTAAAAAAGACTCGAGGTTTTACCGTGTTGTACCGGGATTCTGGACATCTTGGGTTGTGCACTAGGTCACTAGGTCCTCTGATGTTTGGGTTTAACTTGCACCGTCTGTCCCGGCAAAAAATATTTTGGACAAGCTCATCCAAAACTTCAAGACTTCACTGTAAATACCATGAAATCCTGCTTCTCTGGCAAGACCGTTCAAATAGAAGATATTGGAGTTCAGAGTGCCAAAACAGCATCAACAAAGCACCTCTTGCACAAGCATTTTCTTCTATTTAAAGCCTTGCTTGGAAACCACCAAAATTGCACCTTCTAGTTGAAATATTAAAAAACATTTCTTCTATCTCTGCGTCCCGGACTATGAATAAGTTGGGTGGGAGCACTGTGCCACTGACCCCCCAAAGCCCATGTTTGAGGTGACACGGATTTTCACAACCGTGGAGGCGTACACTTTTTTGTTGTTTCTTGTACATGTATACGACATGTCTAAGTAGTTGGGGTGGGGTGGGGTGGAGCACGTTAATGGTTAACGTTCATGTGCACTTGTGTGGGATGTTGATGCTATGGGTTATGCTAACGTTCATGTTAACTGGGGTGGGGTGGGGTGGGGCATGTTAACGTTCATGTGCACTTGCGTGGGATGTTGATGCTACGGGTTATGTTAACGTTCATGTTAACTGGGGTGGGGTAGGGTGGGGCACGTTAACGTTCATGTGCGCTTGTGTGGGATGTTGATTCTATGGGTTATGCTAACGTTCATGTTAACTGGGGTGGGGTGGGGTGGGGCAAGTTAACGTTCATGAACACTTGCATGGGATGTTGATGCTATGGGCCATAGGTTATGTTGACGTTCATGTTAACTGGGGTGCGGTGGGGTGGGGGTGGGGTGGGGTGGGGTGGGGCAAGTTCAACGTTCATGTGCACTTGCATGGGATGTTGATGCTATGGGTTATGTTAACGTTCATGAACATAATTCCAGAATATTCCAGAGTATGACACCTCAGCCAGGCGAAGCAGAAAAATGACCGCTTGAACACTTTTCGTCGTCCGTCGCACAATTCCATGTTTTTAAAACGTGCTCAAAGCGCAGGCGAGTTGCTAACCCACGATCACAAACGCACGGTTGCAAAAAGCCGTGTTACCATGCTTGAGGAAAGAGACGTGTCCAGAAATGCACCTGCGTCCAAGCTTAGGAAAACAAAACAAGCAGAAAACAACAGTCCTTGGTCCCTGTAATGAGGTCCTCTTAATGGGGCATAGGTATCAAACAAAAATAAAAAGAGCATCAAAAAAATAAAAACAGGATCAAAAAATAAAAAGCGAATCAAAAAATAAATATTCCTTGATAGGCCTCTTCTGCTGCTCTCCTGGCCTTGTGGTCTGCGGGTCCTCTGGTAATGTGGTCCCTTGGTAGTCTGGTCCACTGGTCCTTTGGTCCCCTGGTCCCTTGGTCCTTTAGTCCACCTGGTCCCCTAGTCCTCCGGTCTCCTGGTCCTCTGGTCCTGTGGTCCGCTGGTCCCCTGGTATCCTAGTCCTCCTGTCTCCGAGCGCTCTAACTTCGTGTGAACGCCGTGACTACTGCTACTGCTACCACTACTACTACTACTACTACTACTACTTCCTCCTCCTGCTGCTGCTGCTGCTGCTGCGCTGCTGCTGCTGCTGCTGCTGCTGGTGCTGGTGCTGGTGCTGGTGCTGGTGCTGGTGCTGGTGCTGGTGCTGGTGCTGGTGTTGCTGCTGGTGCTGGTGCTGGTGCTGGTGCTGCTGCTGGTGCTGGTGCTGGTGCTGGTGCTGCTGCTGGTGCTGGTGCTGCTGCTGCTGCTGCCTGCTGACTGCTGACTGCTACTGCTACTGCTACTGCTACTGCTACGCTGGTGCTGCTGCTACTGCTACTGCTACTACTACTACTACTACTACTACTACTACTACTACCCCAACCATCCTCAGTGGGCTAGAATATTATTTTTTTGATTACCTTTTTTTTTAAAATTGATCCCCGTTGAATATTTTTTTTTTGATTCTGTTTTTATTTTTATTTTGATCCCTTACCCTAACGGGACCTCATCAAAAGGATATAATATATACATACACATAAAGGGACTCAACCACCCATTTTCCTCCTCTTTCGTTGTTTGCTTCCTGGTCCATTTCCACCGACTTCTCCAGGCATCTCAAGGGGTCCTTGACAGCACAGTTGGTCCCCAGACAGTGGTGGGCGCCCCCAGCCAGGCCTAACCTCTGAGGTTGAACTTTTTGAAGACAGCGATAGGGAACTTGAGATGGAGAGTAGAACTGGATAGACCATGATGAAACGGTTTTGACAACGTATCACATGCTGAAGAGCCATCCCAACCTTATTATGTTTTTTTCAATTTTGTTTGGGGCCTTGTGATGGCGCGAAGTCTTGGATTGGAGGTCTCCGCAAAGACTGTTGCAACACGGAGTGTTTCCGTGGAGGCGGAGTCATCGAAGAGTTTGGGCACTGACCTCTTTGACAAATACCAGCAAGTTCGTGCAGTTTGTATATAAGTTCTATTTCTATTGTAATCATACGAAGACGTTCAGTAGGTTTGCAGCTTCAGTCTTCTCAGAGGATCGATTCCTGAGTCTGTAAGTACTTACAACTTTGAACAATAGATATAGATGATGGATAGTGTATTTCATTTGCGGTCGTTCACCCTCTTTACTTCCGACATGTCCAGGTTTGGTTTGCAAGACATTTTGTGCCGCGATGTGAGGCCGTCCCTGCGATCCCAAGACATCAAGCCAGCATTAGGCCAAATTTGTGCGGCATGGAGCTGGGCAGAAAACAGGCCACACTCCGGATGGAATCTGACAGTTTGCATCATGCATATCATATTGTTAAGAGGTTATTGTCTAATTAGTTGCAATGTTTCCTATTCATATTCTTTATCAATAACTTCCCTCGTGCCTTTGTGCAGGCTGAATTGTTGGAGCGCATGCTCATGAAGGTACCGTGAGAACGAGAGGGATTCTGTGCGTTTCGCACCGGGTTGATGGACCCTTGCAGAAGCAGTCGTTTGGTTCTTTGAAGAAAAGGACTCTTATTCTCGAACTCCTGCGATAGGGTAGTGAGGTGGATGGTCCGAAGGTGAAAAAGATGAGCGGCTGCGACACCCAACAGTTGCAAGTTAGAAGTGTGCCTTGTCGCAGGCTGTTCTTCAGGGCTGGCAGTCGATACTTGGTGGATACAGGTACGGCGCAAGAAGGAAGATATTGAGCGCTTTTTGACTCTTTTTGGGTGTTCAGTGCCGAAGTGAACATTCCGATCTGAGGGATACAAAATGATACATAGTTTTAAGATATTCAAAGCTTTACACATTGTTTTTTCAAACAATTTGGAGAGGATGACTAGCTGGAGCGAGACGACTCGTGTTTTTGTTTGAGTATTTTTTGACTTGATTGGTGCAAACGTCGTAATGGCAATTGTCTGAATCCTAGCCTGAAGGGTAATTGATGACTGAGCAGCAGAAGGCCTTTTGAACCTCGTGTGCGAGATGTACCCTGGCAGACTCCTCCAGAGGCAGCTTTGCAGAGATGCATTTTGCTGCGAAGACCACTTGTAATTGTAGCTTTGCACCATGCCTCTCAAGTGCCCCTCAAGTGCTTTGCGTCTGGCAGCTTTCCTCCCGGCGTCTGAATTGTGCAGGAACCCCTGCTGGCACGGCCGCGAGGACAGAATTGGGCGATGGCTGCTGAGTTGGCGACGCAAGGCTTGGACAAATGGTTTCAAGCTTAGAGCACAGAGAACAATGGTTGCTCGGAACGCCTTTCCTTGGGAAGCTCTGGACCCAGCTAGCAAAATCAAGGAACCAGTAGCATGAAGATCGTAGAAAGACCTCTTTCTTGTTGAAGCGGCAACTCGGGTGCACTGGAAGAGTCGTGCTGGGATCCCCGCATGATGCCATGTTTAATCAAGTTACTGTCTAAATGCACATTATTTGTTGATGACATGTTTCCAAGCAATGCCATTTTGGACTACCTGCAAACACTGGCGACCTGGTGGATTGGCCAGAACTTAGCAGAAAGTAGTTGCGCGTCTACGACCAAACTTAGTCTTGACGTTGCCAAATCACAATCATGCCGCCGGGCCTAATGTCGACTTTAGCGCTACAAAAATTCCCCCACTCTTCCTGGTCACTACCGGCTACATGGCCCTGTGACCTAAAGCCATTGCCTTGTGTCAACTCATACTGCGTCCGATAGACAAGGGTTCCATAATAGGCCAAGTCATGTGTGACAACGAGATATCAAATGGCACAGCCACAACTGCAACACAGAATGTTGCCTCCCTTGTTTATGAACCACGTCGTTTCCCTTAACCTGGAGCCGTTCAGAACTCATGCCTTTCAGCCTTTCAATGCCAAACAACGCGGTGTTGCTACAGTAGTTCTTGATCCAAAGACGCCGCTAGATGAGCTGTCGAGAAGAGTTGCCTCAACGTGACACAGGAGATGGATGAAGGCACTTAAACCAAGGCCGTACAGTCGTGTGTAGATGTGTAGCTTGCATGCATTAAATGGTTTCCTAGTCTGAGTCATACTCGTACTATGTTGTAGTCGTAGCTAGAGTCGTTTTTGTGGATATCATATATAATATACATAATGATATGATATACCGATACTTGAAGTCAAGGCTCAAATATTCTTAGACTGGAATCATGTCTGAAAGTGACCTGCAAGCACACATGTGTGACATCATGTGTTGATCTCATTTGTTCTTTTCTTTTGTGTGTGTGATTAGCTACGCTGCAAGTGTTGTTGTGAGCTTCATCATGCCGTTTGTTTGTCATTGGTCACTTGGATAGACTTGGGCAATCGGATTGTTTTGTGTGAATGTACAGTATAGGCGGTCAGTCGATCAGCGACAAGTCCGAGGCCGTTTCGTCATGTTTCACTTGGAAGTATACGTCTCGTGCACGTCGTGCACATGCACTAGAACGTACGAACGTAGCGTGTACAATGATGTCATTCTGCCCTCCCTTGAAACTCTCAAGGTCGGAATCAAGCCATGATTCCCTGACTGCAGCGCAAGGGCCCCAGGATGGTGCAATTTGGGTTTCCACAGCCGTGTATTTGATTATCTTGCTTTGTGCATTGTCGCAAGTTCACTGATCATTTTGTATATATATATATATGCAATATGTATGTATATATATATATCAATGTTCACTTTACGTTGCCGTTTGAAAAAAGGCGTCGTTGTGAGAAAACCATATCATTCAGGGATCTCTACGAAGCCTGTGCTCGTGCCCATGCCACCTTTGCCAGCTGGGCTGTCAGCCCAAAGCCTAGCACCAAATGTATGTAGAAACAGTCTGACGCAGTGCCATTGCCGTCCGCGACCAATTTCACCCCACCGTGACAAGCACCGGCAACAGCCGGTCCAACCTGTGAGACTAGGCTCTAGCCGACGGCAGATGCATCATGCTGAGAAGCCCAATGCGGCCGTTGACGTGTAGCTTGAGTGCTGACCCAGTGCTAATGGCATCCTCTTCGCTTGCAGGTCAACAAGTCCGGTGGTGGCCGCCTCCGCAGAAGAGGAGGCTGGAGCATGCCGCAGCTTTAGCAAAACAGCCCAAGTTTGAGTTGGTGAGCAAGTACAGTACAATTGCTGATGCCGCTAAGCTTTGGTGTAATTACTCCTAATTATATATATATGTGGAATTGTCATCAAGTTATCAAAGCTACCTAAATTTGGGTGCTTGTTTGACAGGCTGCAGAGCAAGCAGTTCAGCGCGCGCACGAGAGCATCTCCAAAGATGTTATGGAGGAGTTGTCAATATATGTGCGTATGCTACAATTGCCGTGGGGGTGCAGTCAGTGCAATGAAAGTGACGAACCACGCCTTTGCATGGCCTAATGAACAACATGCTTTGCTACACTGCTCGTTGCGCCAAAAGCACAGGAGCTAGAGCAAGCTGCCATGCAGCCCGCCTCCTCTTGGCCGTGCCTTGATGGCACTGTTCTTTTGTGCAAATCTTGGACGAAACAAACACTGTTCAGGTTTTGGAGGATCAAAAGTAAGGGCTACTTGGAGACAGACAGAAAACTAACCCCAACTTTTGTAGGTTTCGAGAACCAAGAATCACACGCCCTTTGGAGTTTTTACGCTCGCTCGCTATTTAAGCAAATGGTGGATTCGTGGTGGATATTGTGTACTCTTTGTCATGGCAAACCTGGCAACAATTTGTGATACAGAGGCCACCTTTGCTGCCTCCACGACCTATTCTTCCAGGTGACAGAGGTTGGGATGATCGTGTCAGACTGGCCTCAGGCCCAAAACGCATCTGGGCAGATATAGAGCTTCTCTCGTTGCTTTTCCATTTGACATCCTACTTGCATGTATCGAATGAGGATGATTGAGGCCTCTCCCTGAACTCGTGCTGTGCTTTTTTGATTTTTCTTCGAGCATGGTGCCGGTAACAACTGGCTGGGTGTTTCAGAGTATCATGTTTCCTTTTTTTCGGTGCTGAGGACGGCTGTTTGGGCCAGAAGACGACCACACCACGGAGGAGGGCAGAAGTCAGAAGTGTCTCAATTAGTGAAACTGTTTGTTTTTGCATCACTGGAGGAGGTCCTGGTGGTCCAGAGCGATGGCTATTTAACAAGCTTCCATCCAGTACCCAGAGAAAGCCAAGGTGCTTCGACGGTGGGGTTTTGGCCACACCGGTGCACAAAGACAACCACTGACAGTGGATCTGACTGATTTGATCAACCAGGAATTGATGCAGTTGGCTCGCCAAGGTGTTCAGAAACCTTCGAAAGACTTGTTGGATACAGAGGACAGAGGAGGATCTCTGGACTTGAATGAACACTTGTACTGTTTTCCTGGAAATTCCAGGTTCAAATGTGGGCCCAGTCGGAGCATGATCGAAATGAAAGAAGGAAGAATAGAAAGAGATATTCAAAATGCATGTGTGTTTGGTGTATTCCAACAAACTGATGAGAACATATGAGAACTTCAGGGTCCTTCCAGGGTTTCCTATTTCAAACCGAAGTATGACAAGGTCTTAACAGGATCCTGGTAGTGAGTAGTTACTTTCACTGTCTGAATTAGGGTGCGGGCCCCCAGCTCAGGGGGGCCCAAGCCTGATACACGTGACTATTAGTAGGTTGGAGGCCATTCCTATAATGTTGGAGGCATTCCTATTAGCTTGGGGGCCATCCCTAGAAGGTTGGAGGCCATTCCTATTATGTTGGAGGCTTTCCTATTAGCTTGGAGGCCATCGCTAGTAAGTTGGAGGCCATTCCTATTTTGTTGGAGGCATTCCTATTAGCTGTTATTAGCTTGGAGGCCATCGCTAGTAGGTTGGAGTCCATTCCTATCATTATGTTGGAGGCATTCCTATTAGCTTGGAGGCCATCGCTAGTAGGTTGGAGGCCATTCCTATTACGTTGGAGGCCATCCTATTAGCTTGGAGGCCAGGCCATCGCTAGTAGGTTGGAGTTGGAGGCCATTCCTATCATGTTGGAGGCCATGCCTATTAGCTTGGAGGCCAACGCTAGTAGGTTGGAGGCCATTCCTATTATGTTGGAGGCGATTCATATTAGCTTGGAGGCCATCGCTAGTAGGTTGGAGGCCATTCCTATTTTGTTGGAGGCCATTCCTATTAGCTTGGAGGCCAACGCTAGTAGGTTGGAGGCCTTTCCTATTGTGTTGGAGGTTGGAGGCCATTCCTATTCGCTTGGAGGCTACCGCTAGTAGGTTGGAGGCCATTCCTAGTATGTTGGAGGCAATTCATATTAGCTTCGAGGCCACCGCTAGTAGCTTGGAGGAAATTCCTATTATGTTGGAGGCGAGTCATATTAGCTTGGAGGCCACGGCTACTAGGTTGGAGGACATTCCTATTATGTTGGAGGCGATTCATATTGGCTTGGAGGCCACCGCTAGTAGGTTGGAGGACATTCCTATTATGTTGGAGGCGATTCATATTAGCTTGGAGGCCATCGCTATTTGGTTTAGTTTAGTCTCAGCCTCTCATTGCTCGTCCAGCCGAGCGGGGCTCCGAGTCGGTCGCTTCACACGGTGCGAAGCCTGTCACAGGACTAAGAGCGACCGGTCTGAGGACGACGAAACAAATGACCCAAACGGGTGCATTTTGTACATAGACATAGCATGACCTGGCTGTTGCACGGGGCCTGCCCTTCCTGTCTTCTTTCTGTTTCTTTGGAACTAGTTAGAGCAAGCCCAACGGTAAGTGCGTTGCATTGGAACAATGATCTGTGCTGAGTAGCCATCTCCAGCGCTTGTCAAAGGAAGGCAGGAAAATGTTAACGCGCAGTGGTGATATCACAGTTGCAAGCAAAAATGCCGCAGTGCGGAGTCAGAAGCAGTGCTGAGTGTGTTTTACAGATTTCAGATCCCAAACAAGAAGACGACTATCATTCAATCTTGGTTCAGTTTGGGGCGAGGAAGTTAAGTGAATTCTTCGATGTTCTTGCAACAAAAGAGGATGTCATGGTGCAAGAGGTAGGGGTTTCTCAGAAGAAGATACCCTATATAGTTCAAGTACACACACTCTGACATTGGTTTTCAGTTACACTCAGTTCCCACGTTGAGAAGGAAGGCGATGGAACGGCATGGTGAAAGGTCCAAAGACTTGAAGGTGTTTTAACATTGAGGTTTCTCATCTGCAGCGGTGCGACGACGACGCGCGCGCGGCGAGGGAAAGGGTTTAGGGGAAGTAGCATGAACCGCCATGGAAACAAACAAAGAAAGAGTGGAGTGACAGCTTGTACAACAGTTCGGCAGGTACGTTTGCAGCCCTCCCCAGTGGCCTCTTCGTTGGCCATCCGCCACTGGGGAGGGGGATGGCCCCCTGCCTTGTTAAGTGGTGGTAATGGAAACGGTGGCATTGGACCCTTTGGTACAGGGGGTGACACACACATAGCCGTATTCGGCGCGGTCTCGCCTAGCAAAGTAGTAGTGAAGCCAGGGGCCTCCATGCAGTAGCGTCCTGACTCCTCGGGGAACATTTGTACAGAAAGCGCCAATTGTTGGCACAGCGAAAAAAACTATTAGCCACCTAAAAAGCCTAAGAAAGACAGACAAAGCAAACAAAACAAAAGCAGACTAAGAGGGCAAGAAAGAAAGATAGGTGTAGTTACGAGGCCCACTTAGTTAAACGAAAGTAGTTTGCGAGCGGGACATTCGTCTTAAACCGCCCGGGTAGCTAGCAATAGACTAGGAGAAACAGAAGGAAAGGCACCAACACACAAGTGTGTTGAGTGCGATTTCCTTCTGTTGCTCAGCAGCGGGTGGGATAGCAGAGGAGGCCCAGGGGCAGGGAGGGGGTGCACGATTAATTCGTCCGGCCTGTGAATACTTAGCAGAGTGACATGGACTGGTGAATACTTAGCGGCATGGCAGACTGAGAGAATCCCGTTTTTTGGCCCGGCGGCCTTGGAAGCAGTAAATTCAGTTAAGGTTGATCAAGTGGTGAATTCCTGTGAGAAGTGGAAAAGCTCAGTTACACGATTTCCGGCATGAATTCAGCGCCCCAGTGACGGGGATCACACTCAGCACCCGAGTGGGACGGCTGAGCGAAACACACTCTGACATTGGTTTTCAGTTACACTCAGTTCCCACGTTGAGAAGGAAGGCGATGGAACGGCATGGTGAAAGGTCCAAAGACTTGAAGGTGTTTTAACATTGAGGTTTCTCATCTGCAGCGGTGCGACGACGACGCGCGCGCGGCGAGGGAAAGGGTTTAGGGGAAGTAGCGTGAACCACCATGGAAACTAACAAAGAAAGAGTGGAGTGACAGCTTGTACAACAGTTCGGCAGGTACGTTTGCAGCCCCCCCAGTGGCCTCTTCGTTGGCCATCCGCCACTGGGGAGGGGGATGGCCCCCTGCCTTGTTAAGTGGTGGTAATGGAAACGGTGGCATTGGACCCTTTGGTACAGGGGGTGACACACACACACACACCCGCGCGCGCACACACACACACGCACTTATGGAAATGCGTGCGGACTTGATTGCGGTTGCCACACGCCAGCCTAAGTAAAAACCAAAGAGTCCAAGTAAGGTGAAAACTTCCAAAGCTCCAACAATCTTGAAGTTCACGAACAGCGGCTCGCGGCGACAGAATGACGATTTGCGCTCATGTCTGCAGAGCTCGAAAGCCAATGCAAAGGCCAGCGACTTGTTCTAGCGACAAAGGGGCCCAAGAGGAAGTAAGTGGTAATCTGGCTGATCAGGCCAGATATCAGCACGGAGCTTGACCCTCGTCGTTGGGATCACCAGTCAAGTCCGTGGGTGGTTTCCCTGCTCATCTTTCAAAACTACAAACCAAAAAGGATCCCTGTGACTCCAAGGGTTGCACACGCCTCCCACAAAGGGAGGCGAGAAAAGCTAAGGCCAGGGCAATTGTGCATGTGTGCGCGCAGCAAGGACAAGAAGATGAAGACACGAAAAGGGGGCAATACAGGACAAAGGTGTAGGTGGTTGCGATGAAGAGAAACCAAGTGCACAGGGGCAAACAATGAAAACCCGCCTCATTGTCAAACCTGAAGCGTGGGTTTGAAGTAGATGACGTACAAACGAAGGGGCTGCTGGACCAATGTGCGCGCAAGAGAAAGAAGGAATGAGAAGCCAAGCCACGAAGGCAGGAAGACATGAAAGAACAGAGGAAAAAGATATGTGTGAGGGGGAAATGATGAAAAGGGGGGGAACCAGATGGAGGGGCCAGGAACCGATGAAACCAAACCTCATTTGAAAGACCTAGGAAGACCGGCCTGGCCTAAGGTGAGGGCAGGTTCCAATGAACCTAAGACAGGCTTGGGTCGCTGTGACCACTTTGTGGCTTTAAGCCTGCTTGGACCGCTGCGGTCATGTTCTGGCATATAGCCTACTCGTTTTCAATAATCCATCAAATCTTGGCAAGTGACTCTGGCGCAAGCCTACTCCGCCCGCTGTGGGCACGTACGCTCCCGGGCAGGCGGGCCATGGAAAAAACCCTTTCAAAGGGTCCACAGGGGGCACTCCTCGGGCTCACCCTGGGCTCTCACTGGAAATGCGTGCGGACTTGATTGCGGTTGCCACACGCAAGCCTAAGTAAAAACCTAAGAGTCCAAGTAAGGTGAAGACTTCCAAAGCTCCAACAATCTTGAAGTTCACGAACAGCGGCTCGCGGCGACAGAATGACGATGTGCGCTCATGTCTGCAGAGCTCGAAAGCCAATGCAAAGGCCAGCGACTTGTTCTAGCGACAAAGGGGCCCAAGAGGAAGTAAGTGGTAATCACAGCAGGTATGTCTGGCTGATCAGGCCAGATATCAGCACGGAGCTTGACCCTCGTCGTTGGATCACCAGTCAAGCCCGTGGGTGATCCCCCTGCTCATCTTTCAAAACTACAAATCCAAAAGGACCCCTGTGACTCCAAGGGTTACACACACACACACACGCACTCAGTTGCCAAGAGGCTAACAGGAGGGAACACCTTCATGTGCGCTCATGCAAACATCATTATGAAGTACATTCCTATATACGAATATACTAATTATATATATATATATATATCATATTTAAGCTCAAATACGCCCAACGTTTTTCAGCTCGCTACCAACCATATCCACTGCTGCTCACATGACATTTAACATGTATTTGACATACATTTTTGCCCTAGCTGCTGCAAGAACAGAGCAAGTGATTCATGCAACCTGAATCAAAACAACACGAACCCTGAGAACTGGAAACTGAGGGAGCAAGTCGACAGGTGGCGCCATCTCTGCCTTACTGAATGCTCTGTCTAGGTTCAGTGTATCAGAAGTGGAATGGAAGGGTAAGATCAAGTGCTGAAATCATTTGAATGCTTTGGCGCATTGACGAAGCGTATATGATGACTAACGCATGATCATGGACAACAATCCACAGAGACTGAATATATTTCCTGGCTTCCGCCTGGCAGCATGGAGGCAGGGAGGGCTAAGTGTGCCTTCTAGGCAACTCATTGTTTTGCATGTCAAAAACACTCTTGTATTTATGCATAGGCAAAGCCAGCAACAGCGACGTCCATGCGGCCGGGGACTTGGTTCCACCGTAGCAGATCACAGCAGACGTTCTTGGAGTTGTTCTCGGCACGGGCAGAGTGATCACAATGGCATATAATGGTATGACGCGCAGTTTGTCACAGCCCAGACAGTTTCCAAGCAGCTCTAGACAGGGGTTCTGTCAACAGAGTGCAAGAGCAACGAGAGTGTGATGAAATCATTCGAACCATTGATTTGGCATAGTCGTTTAACGTTTCCTACAGTTAAACTGCCCACTTTGTTGCACTCCAGCAAGGCGGTTGCGCAAAGAGTTGCAACTGATCCAGCAGTCGCCGAATTCGCAGGCGACCTGGAACTCATCCAAGGTTCTTGCAGGTGGAAGGAACAAACATCACTTTTGATACATGTTTCATGGGCGGAGTTCGATGATAAGTATTGTACAGGCGTACAACATGTATTTACTCAAAATTCTGTCCATCATGTGCTGCTCTTTGTGAGTGATTTGGGAAGGTGGCAGTCAAGCCCTCAAACTCTTCTTTGCTGGAGCTGCAGCCTCAGCTCCAGCTCCTGGTGAAAAGGCGAAAAGGTGAGTATATATATATATATATAAAGTTTATATACTGTCACATATGTTCTTATGTTCTAGTTTACCAAATGCAGAAAACCCAGCAGTGCTAAAGAGCTAACAGGTGGCAAATCTTATGCAACCAAGATTGGTGTCCTTTTTTTGACTTTCCCAATGTTTATAATGTTTCACTTTCGTGCAGGTGGCATTTTGTGCTGCATTCTCTTCCAGCAGACACGACTGAAACTCAGCCATACGCGAATAGCAACGACTCACACGACGTGCTGCTTGAACATTTGGTGACCAAGAAGTAAGGAGCACCGCTTTGGAGTTCTGTGTGTTTTGCCGACAGCTTTCACACAGCTTCTGTTTGCTGAGTCCGTACAGCAGTGGTTGCTACCATGGTCGGTGCCGGCCTGATTTTACACTGGCAGCGTAGAATGTGAGGAACGATCAACAGCTTGATGCGCAAGATGACCGCAGCCTTGTGTGTCGTTACAAGTGAGGCTACTTTTTCCTGCGAATTATCCGCACGCTCCGCCAACTGTGGTGATGGTGACTCCAAATGGACGACTGGAAACCGGCTGTCGTTTGTGCCGTAGCCCCAGGCAGAGTTAAGTTGAAAGAACCAGACGGTGACTACTGTATATAACTTGACTGGTTTGAATCAAGAATGACTATCAGTGTAATCAATTCAAGTAGTCATGTTGGAGATGTTCATGCCGTCCTGAGTTCAGGGGGTGCCAAGTCACTCCCCTGAACCCGTGCTATTTCTCATTCATGGTCTCAAGGTCTTTACAAGACAAGATCCAATGTTGCCAAGGTCTAAGCATGACCGATTTTCATCCAGAGGCAGGTTTGTATGAATTGGGCTCTTTGGTGTTGGACCTTTTGATTAGATTTCCAAGTTGAAAAAAACGGTGCTAAAGCTTTGCTAGCCGCCTAGATTCCAAACATCCACTGGCCGCTCAAATCAACTGCAATCTTTCTACCTTGTTTTCGAATCTGACCCCTGGATTTTGTTTGATCCCGCTTGCCAGAGCTGGAATCCAGCATGGTCTGTCGACACCATTCTCACTGGCCTCTTGTCCTTCTTTCTCTCTGAAGAAAGAGGTCTCAGCCTCAGATGGCATGTTCTTTGCAGCTACCTGTGGAAGACTGTGGAAGGTGTTTGTTCGTTCTTTTTGCTGGTACCCGACGGGACCCGTAGCCGTTGCCTTCGTTGAAGATCCGAGAAGGCGTTCTGTATGTGTTCTTGATGGGAGAACCAGCGTATTCTGAGACCAACCTCTCCCTTTTGATGCAGAGCTCGACCAGAAACGGATAGTTATTCTGATTCAGTTGCATCGCCAAGGGTATGGCTCTGTCAAAACTTCAGAGGAGCAGAGGCGGCGCTTGGCATCCTCTTCATGGGCATTTGAGCTGCAAAGAAGGTTGTTTCTCGAAAAGGCTTTGCATGCTTCATGTTCTATCATTATCACAGTACAGAACGACATGCATGTTGAGTTGCCTTCTTTATCAGCGAAGTATAGCTAAGTTCACACCCTGGAATCGATAATTTTTGCTTGGTTTGGGATGGTTTGGGCTGCCAACAGAAGGGGCAGTGGTGGGAACATGGCTCATGCTCGTCCATTTTCAGCCTTCACCCCGACCAACCTTTCTTGATCTTGCTTGATCTTACTTGTACCATCTCATCTGATTGCAGCGCGCTTTGATTCACCTTGCCCCCTCTTATTTCCTGCAACTCCTTGGCAAGTATCGGGTGAAAGACTGGTGAAAGATTGACTTTTTCCTGCTTACAGTCATTGTTGGGCCAGTGCATTTATTTGTCTCAGCTCGTCTCGTTTCGCGTCATTTCATCTCTGTGCAACAGATAATCTCAACCCACCTCACCTCCACCTCACCGCCCAGATGCGTAGCCTTGTGCAGACATCCAGTGCTTGACAATCTCAAATGTATCAAAGCAAGGTGTTCTGCAGGCAATTATGTTTAACACCTACTGAAACGGCTGAGCCACTGTTAGAGTGTGATGCAGCAAAGGCTCACAACACTTCGGACGCAGACTTCGTGGAGCTTTTTCCCGAACTCTTGGAGCCGCCAAACAGGTGCCTCGGTGAGCTGTCACTTTTGTGTTTTCGGTGAGTCATGGCTGTTTCCAATGAAAGATATGAAAGACCTGAACAAAGTAGTGCACTAGAGATCACTAGAGTCACTAGGGCAAAATCAGGATAGTGCGCTGCACATATGGCTGGTAGTACAGTGTATGTCATGTGGTGTGCCACAGGCCGGCTGCAGGCAGTCAGGGGAGGAGCTGGAAACTCAGCCTGAGAGTGAAAGTGTTTGGTGGTTGAAGGAATATCAATGAAATGAGATGAGCAATCCTCAAAACGTGCAATGAGCGGTTGTGAATTCCACTAATTTTGCAAACACTTGCAAAAACGATAGGCCCCCTCAAAAGCGACAACCATATCCCCGCAGTTTTTTTGATATGTTCAGCATTGTTCAGCTATGTTGTGCTGACATTGTGGCTTTAAAACCTGCAAAAGCGCTCAAATGTTATTAGTTGTTCGAACACAATGACGATGGCAGCGAAGCGCTCAGAGCATTGCGTCTGAAAGGCACTGCAGTAGGGGAACTGTCAAAAGTTGACAGCAGGGGCGAATGAACAAAATATCATGAGTGAAGAATGGTGGAGAATGATGAATGCATATGCATGAATGTCGTATCACAACAAGGCTTGGCGTCGCCTTGGCGTTTGTTCAAAAACATTCAACAACTGTGCTCCGACCATAACGCTTGGAAGGTCAGGAGCTGCCCCACGTGGAGGCACACTTTCGTCACGGGCGGCGGGCGAGTCGTTGACAGCTGTCGATCTATTGTTCCTGATTCTCAGTGGTTGTTTGCTGGTTGTCTCCCTTTTCTATCCTTTTCTTGACATCAACATGTTGTGTTGGTTCTTCGGTTCTGCTCAGGCTCGCGAGTGCTGGATTTGCCGAGACCTAGGGACTGAACCCTTGATTCATCCCTGCGGCTGCAGAGGGCCAGCCTGGCGTGTTCGGTCCCATGCTTTTGTCTTATGTTCTCTTGAGCTGGACTTTGAGATTTGCAACCCTGACAAGGGATTGTCATTGTTTACCTAAATGTTTCTTTAATGATATTATGTGTTGGATATGTGTTGGTTCCAGTGATTCCAATGGAAGTGTTGGTTCCAATGGAAGTGCCTTTTACCTTGCTCGCATGTTTTTATCGTGCTATCGCACAGTATTGTTTCTGTTCAAGGAGCATGGTGTATCTATGAAGTGATACGTTGTCCACACTTCAATCCTTGCCATAGCCATATTGGACCGTACTCTGCGAGCTGCTGCCACAGCCCCACAAAGAGAGGCACCTCCAAAGCGCTTGCCTTTTGATAATGAAACCAATGACCCCCCTGTGCTGGTTGCCTGCAAGACATGCCGCGCAACAGTGCGATAGGACGATGTGGCGCTCGCATCGCTTTGTTTCTGCGCTGGCAGCACCTTGGTCTCAATATGGTATGGGAGTAGCTGCTTGGTGCTGCTTGTGCGCCTTTCATGAGCACTGAAACCGGCAACAGTCATGCACGCCTGGGTTGTTCACCCCCAATCACCCCGATGCTTTGCCTGTACCACAGAGACACACACACACACACACACGTTCTTTCAGTTTGCTTGTTTCGCAAACTGACTGAGCCTTGCAACGGTGCAGGGGTTGATGTATCATCATATAATCATAATATGTTACAACGACCAGACTTATACACCACTGAGGGACTTGGTGGGAAGATATTTTGTTGACTTGGGTGATTTCCCATGGTGTTTCGGTTCATGCTCATGTAAAATCTCCCATTCTCCATGGGACACCACAAACGCATGGAGTCACGCATGAATGCGAAAAGTCAGCCATTTGTAATCATAATGCATAGATAATCATATATATATATGTATAACAATATATAGTAGTACATCATATATCCTACTGGGCACACCATCTCCAACCACATTCTGCAAACACATCATTCCACATGAAAAGTGTGTGGACACCACAGGACAAAGCTACTGTTTTGTTCAACTCTATTTAGGTTAAGAACCGACTTGTTGAGTGACTTACTTGTCCGCCCAGTACTCAATTCAACGTATTTCCATTCAGTCGGGCACAGTACCATTTTGCTTGGTTCAAGTCCGCTTTAGGTCTTTAGGTTGGAGGTACAGCAGCGTGAGAGTCAGACTTGCAGTGGTTCGGCAGCGCAAGCCTGTACCGATCAATTGATTAGGCATTGCCAGCCCTGGCATTGCTTGCACCTGGGGCTTCCTTCGTGGAGAGCCACGTGGCAGACCGCGTTCGACGACATCAGGTGTGATAGGGCCTGGTTGCCCTTGAGGAAGACTCAGCATAATTCAGGATTTGTTTGTAGGCAAGAAGCTGGTTTCTCCAGTCTGAAATGCACTATGTTTGTTGGCAGGAACTTACACTCAGACGAGCATCGAAGAAGCCAGAGCATGATGAAGATTCTTGGTCAAAGATGTAGATGATGTAGTACGTGTGCCTGTGAACTTTTTCGACCAACGCCTTTTTTGCGCCGTGTCTAATTTTTCCACTTAGCATGCACCCAAACCTACACTCTTTTCCAAGGACTTCTTGCATCCAGAGGGGAGCTTTACCTTGCCTGCAGTGATAGGCTGGAAGAATGTTCATCGATTGTTGCTGCTTGTGCGGTGGTGGCACGTAATGCTAGAAAGTGCAGCACTGCACAAGATTCTCCGAGGGGGTTTTGCCGGACTCTGTCTATCATTTCTGGTGGCCAGCATGCAAATGATGCCATCAGTTGCGGAGGATGGATCTCCCACAGGCGTGGAATCTGATCAGTGTGACTTTCTGAGAGATCAAGGTGCTGAGAGAATTCAGCTGTCACCTGAGCAACCGCCAAAACTCGAGATGACCAGTTTTGTACTGTAAGTGGTCGTGATTCTCAAGATTTGACTAAAACCTACAAAAGCGATCGGCCCCTCAAGAGCGATTTCCATGTCGCCGCAGCTGAAATTGTGTCTGAAAAAGTGATGGGCCCCACTCAAAAGCGACAACCTTGTTAAATCGTCTCCTCTTTGTTGACGTTTCGGCAGACGCTCACATGGTGCCCAGTCACGCCTCTAGCGAGGCTTTGCCGAGTTTGCTCGAAAAGGGGGGAAGATGGATGCCGATGCACGTCTGCAGATGGATTTGAGAGGAAGATCAGTGGATAAGAGATGATACAATGATACTAGTAAGAGAAAGAGGTTGAAGGAAATCAGGGCCACCATGGGTCACTCATGCTGTGACACATGCAATGACTAGACTAGATGATACTAGTACTAGCAATCCTCATGCAATTTCACCAGCATAGATGAAGTCCGGTGTTACCGTCATTGTCACTTCATGCCTCTTCCTTCCCCTCAGGATGTTGGATGCTTCTTTGTCCAGTGCGGGAAGCAGACTAAGGAGCCCGGGTAGTGTACCAGCATTTTGGGAGTAGGCTGTCGTGTGCCCTGTACTCAATGGAAAGAGGAGTGCTTTGCGGAAGATGGAAGATGCTTGACCCTTGACTGAACAGATACTCTGACTGTCTCTGACTCTGTACTACCTGTTGCTTATGGAGTGGGAACTCTTTTTCAGTTCCAAGAGATTCAACACGCTTGATTGTGCACTACAGAGTGCCCTGCAGACCAAGCTACCTGTAGTTTCTGGCTTGCTGTCGACAACACAACTTGCAAAAAAGTTGAGATGGCTGCCCGGAAGTTATCACAAGATGGCTTAGGAAAGGTGCAATGTGCTTGGCTCGCTGCCGTGGAGACTCTGACTGTGCTACTCAGTGCTTTGCAGAGTACGGATGCCCCAGGTGGGGATGTCAGGAACTTTCACTGAACTACCAAGTCCAAAAGCATTCCAAAGCACCAGGTTACCCGGATTGTAGGTTACAATATTTTATACATAATATAATGACACGCTTCAAAACCATCAGCTTCGCTCCCGATGGGTCAATGGCTTTCGAACCATCCTCTCACCCATCAGACCAAGCTCTTGAATGCTCAACAGATCAGATTTGAAGCACAAAACCTGGAAGGCTAGATGCATGGTTGAACTGCACTGTGGAGAAGGAGCAGTGTGTTAGCGTGCCAGCAGGCACATATGACTCTTGGAGCCAAGTGGTGTTATTCACCTACCCTAACTAAGCATATGACTCCTGCTTCCTTGCCCAGATGACCTCTCTATTCTGCGATATTCATACTATGACCCCTCCACTAAAAATTAATTGGAGGGGGTGACCCATGAATTAATTTTCTCAATCAATTTGTTTCTCCGACAATTTCATCGACAATTTATCGACAATCGTAAGTTTGATAAAACAATTGTTTTCGGGTGTACCTTGGATCAAGCTAGCCAACTAAATTAATCGACCCCTCCTTCAGAGGCCAACCCGCCCCCATCAATTTGTGTTGCCTGCACTTTCCCAGGCATATGCTTGCCAAATAAATTGAATAATCGACCCCTCCTCCAAAGGCCAACACCCCCTGAATTGATTTTTTCTACCTGGTTTTAAGTGTGGTGGCAATTTTCCTGCCTGGTTTGGCGTGGCTGTGGATGGGGGTTGCCACCTGGGGACTGGACACTGAGTGGTGAGGTGTCGATGAGTTAGGGAGGGTACGGGGGGCCCTAAGCAAATTTTATAGAACATTAATTGAGGGTGTACACCCCCCCTCAATTACTATCTAACGTAGGGGTCATTTCATACTATCTCATCTCCATGTATCTCCCATGCTTGCCAGCAAGAACGCGGCAACATGATGTACGCACCCAATGATCAAGGAGAGCACAAAGCCTTTGTTTGCAATTTGCCAGTTAGAATCTGATGTCCAGCAGCAAAGGATGTGAAGAAGTTCTATGCAGAGAATATCCCAACGAAGATGAAGGATTTTGACGTGAGGAAGCTGGAGGGGAAGTGGTACAAAGTGAGGGGCTACAACCCCAAATATGATTGCTACCCTTGCCAGACCAACACCTTCAAGTATAACACTGAAACCAAAAAGATGGAGACGGAGGTGAAGCTCCGAGTGGCGACCCTTGGAGCTGCAGAGTGTTCTGCTAGCCATAGCAGACACGATGATGACAACATTTTTTATACAGTGAAACTTGAGTTGTCACAACACCGCAGCTAAGAATCTTGGAGCTTTTCCTGTGAATAGGCGTTGAGATTATGTTGCATTTCTATGCATTTCTGGGTTTTCCAAGGAGAAAGAAGAGTGGCGGATATTGGGAGAATGTCTTGACAGAACAGATGGATGTGCAGAGTCCTTCTGATCGGAGCACTTTGTGACTGGGGAGCATGATTCAGTTATGCGACGCACTTTGTTTCAAGTGGCATCCACAGTCCAAAACGATTGAAAGATCAACAGCCTTTCCGCTATACACGAGTCAATGCTCTCGGCAGCAAGATGAGGTTTGCAAAGGGAGAGATTTTTGGTCTTTCCTTCCAAGAAGAGTGGTACGTGCTGGGGGCAGATGATGATTTTGTAATGACTGCTTATGTGGGCAACAACCTACAGGACCTTTGCCACAAGACTTCAATGCTTCAACTTTTCAAGAGCAAGTGTTCCTGAGGGCAGAGTCGGAGTCAGGTCATGTGATATAGTTGTAAAATTGCCGGGCAGATACCCTGAAGATTGTAAGGTTCGCTAGCAGCTAGAAGCTAGGTGAGGCATACGCTTCCGAGATGAGACATGACACCTCCGAATATGTTTGACTTGCCCGTACAGGACGCCTATAAAGGCTGGTGGTCTTAGCTTTGCGCGACGCTTCAATGGTTGGCTGCCCAAGTCGTTGATTTGTATTCCAAACTTTCATTCATCAACATCCTGTTCCATTTGATCTATGCGGTGCTCGTAGCAGTTTCGTGTTAAAAGGCCTCAACTTCCAAAGACGATAAGGAAGGAGTTCTCTATACGACCAACTCAGCATATGACCATAGTTGGACAGGCAGCTTCGTGTATGCGCGAACGCCCGAGCTATCTGCGGAAGCAGAAGCCAAAGCCAGGGCAATTGCGGAAAAAAGTGGTGCCTTGGTTCAGTCAATTGGCTTACTATAGTTTATAGCATTTCAGAGCTACGTGTGCGCAGGAGCGCTGCAACCACAAAGCCATTTTATGAAGCCCATAACTCCGCTTTTTTGACTGCAGGGGACTGGGGTTGGAATGCTCAGTACTCAGGACTGGACTGGTCGTGGCTTGGACCCCACCAGTCAATTCGGGCTTATAAGCCCTTTGTTTCTAGTAGCTTCTTGCTTCTAGTAGTAAGGCCAGGAGCGCCCCTAGTAGCGTCCTTGCTCCTAGTAGCGATGCCCTTTGTTACTAGTAGCTAAAGTGCTAAAAGTAGGGTATTTTGATTCATTGCAAGTCACGAATCATTACCCCTATCTCTATTCTAAGGAAGTATTGCGTAATCGACAACGCTTGTCCTGAGCAACCTCCAGTGGACTATTCATCTCCAGTGTCGATGAACCTAGATGCAACTTGGATGCATGTCAATTCAGGGAAAAAACATAGGGGGAAGAATCCATGCACGTTAATTCATACCAGTTGCATCCAGTTGCTGATGGACTGTCTTGAACAGCTCAACGCCTTGGAGTGTCCGCCTTCAAGGACATGCAGGACCTTCTTGAGTGGTTCGCACCAGGCTCCACAAGAGGGGGGACTGTAACTTGGCAAAGCTATTGATACAAGGGAAATAATATGCTGAGCCGTACCCTGTGGACTCAGAGCCACTAACTAGAGAGGGAGCGGCCAGTCTGACAGCTGTGGAGACAGCTATAGGTACTTGTAATTCACTGTAATTCGAGATACACATATCTTTTGAGACCCAGATGAATCAGATAGAGTTTCATGGCCCAAGACGACTTGAGCGATCGTGAGGTCAAGGACGCGAACTTCACAGGCGACTATTAGCTGGAAGTGAAGGCCGCGAGAAGCCTGACCTCCGCCATGTCCTCTCTGTGCCAATGGACAAAGGCTAAGGCGGCCAAGATCGGCCAAGCCGGGCTGGAGTCAGTCATGGTGACCGCTCGCAACTGGCTGCCATGATTGCACCCTTTTTTAAGAAGACGTGAGCAGGTGAATGCAGGTGGGCAGGTGCAGACCTGATATCATTCTTACATGGAGTTTCTACCACTTCGGGCGTTTGAAGCCCTGGAGGGTGACAATGCGTGTATCATTTATCATTTATAATTTATAATATAGACAATTATAGATCTTAGATAACTTTAGACTATTGAGACAATTGGTGGAACAAGTGGCATTGTCATCCACCAAAGTGGACGAGTTGACAAGCAAGAAGCATCGTGAGAAGAGAGTTCAAAGGCCGCAGGGATCCGACGGACGATGTGAGACGACGTTGACAGTCGAGAGATCTGACAGTGACTGCTGCTTAGCAGGCTTGGCTTGAATGTCTTGCAATGTTTTGCACATGCGTTGAACAAGAACAGATTTTGGTGGTACAAAGCGGGGGTGTACCACTTCTTGCGTTTGTCGTCTCATTCTCCGTTTCTTTCTTAGTTGAGATAGGGGACAGCAAGAAGGCTATATATGTAGAATCGTCTCGCAAGACAGGTCAATGAGTGGCGTCCATGCTTCCTGTGTCGAGCAGTTCCATTCTCAGCAATCCGATATCCACACACAATTCCCAATGCTGGATTACGGCCAAGCTGGCTTGCTGGCATTTTATCGTAATAGTCATGCATAGTCAAGGACGGACAATTGATTCCAACAGAGGTGGATGCGACACCAACGCCAAGCTGGAGGACTGATCAGCCTTTTGCTTGAGCAGAAGCCGAATCACAGAAAGCACCAACTTTCTTTTGCTGTAAGAGAAAACTGCCAAATCCTTGATGGCATCAAGAAAACTCCTTCAAGATCCTTCGGGCATTGACTTCCAATCTTTTGTACACTTGCCTCACGGTCATAGGAGGTGGCAATCGTCCGCGTTGCAGCATTTGCCGCGAACCGTGCCCCAGAACTGGTTGCAGCATTTGCGCATGTCCTCTGAACTGCTCACGGAGGTACCTTGGCCATGAAGAGCGGCCTGGTTTGAGGAGCTTCTTGCTGCCAAGATGCAAGAAGGCATAAGAAGCCAAAGGATGTGCACAAAGCGTGCTCAGTGGAGAGCTTTCACTGGAGACTTGCAAGTTTGTTTGCCCAGGTTTCATTATGCGCGAGACTTTGGGGGGCAGCTCATTCGGAGGCAACCTTTTGACCTTTTGTCCATCCTAGAGCCTGCAAATTTTGTTGATTTGAGTTGCATTTATTTGCTCCAAAGACCTGGATCTGCGTTTCAATCGAAGGAATCAGAAGACAAACTGACACGTGACACGGCTAGGGCATAGGGCTTTTGTGCACGCGGAACCTGCCAGTGCTTTCCTGGTGACGATGCTGCTGGGCTTCCAGGATTGCTGTCGGAACGAGGCACCCGTGATGAGTGAGAAAAGACCTTTAAAACTATACATGAGCTTGCAGAATCAAGCGACGTGTTCCAAGGATTCTTGGTGTTTATATTGCAACCGAACTGAAAGCTCTTGATTTAAGTCGTGCTGTCAATTTAAAGACTGACAGCACTCTGATGATACTGTAGGAGTCAATTGTAAGAGCAGCGGAGGTTTGAGCATGTTGACTCATGACCCATGATAACTGTTGACTTAAAGCTGTGACTGTGACTATTGTCACTTGCTACAGGCAACACTTCCTCTTCCTGCCAGCATTGTTTTCATCCTCATGTTTGGATGTGCGGCTCAGATGCAGAATAGCATGAATAGCACGTTTGCTTATTGTAAGGACCTGAATAGTGCCAAAGGGTGCGCGTGGTTCTGAGGTGATGATCCACAAGTTCGCTGTGCTGGCAGCTGCTATCTCAGTGAGCCGAGCAACAAATCTGTTTGCCAGACATTTTTCTTCAATCTTTGCACCATGTTATATATATATATTAATTATATTCCAGTCCACCTTTGGCCCGGAAAGGGTCTTCGAAGGCCTCCTTGCCGCTCCATCGACCACCTCCACGCTCTCCGCGAGCTCAACGGTTTCACACGTCAGCATTCTCAGACGGAATCCGTCACTGGGTGGAACGGTTCTCGGAAACAAGACATTCGGTGCGGTTGACTTTGGACCATGGATGTTGATTGTGCAAAGTCCATCATGTTTGCTGTGCAGTTTGTTCTTCAAGGAAGAGTGCTTGGGCAGACTAGATCGAACCTGGAGAGATGAAGTATGTTTCGCTCAATGTATGGTTGGCATTTGCAAATCATTGTGTGTCAGCAGAAAATTGTGCCAAAACGGTTTTGCAAGATTTTGCGAGTTTAAACATGTTTTGGATGAATAACACGCAAGACATGAAATCAATTCCAGCTAAATGTGTGGATCGTCCCTATTCAAGGACGATCTGTAAAGATGACCGAACATGTCTATCGCAGATGCTGTTCGGCCGTGAAACGGTTCAGATCAAGAATGTAGTGCAGGGTGCAGGACACACAACATCACACAACAAGTCGGTCAGCAATGGATGCTTGCGCTGACAATGCAGCTATCAAGCAGGAATGTGCGAAAGAAGGAAGCTTTGTGATCCTTTGGGGAAGTTACACTCAGGTCTTTGGAGTGGTTCTGAAGCATGGAGAGATCACGAACAATCGCTTTGGTAATTTCCACCACGATGAGATCATTGGGCGACCCTTTGGAAGCAAAGTGAGATCTCGGAAAGGTGGACTTTGGTTGGCGTTGCTTCGCCCATCGCCTGAGTTTATCACACAAAGTTTGACCCATAGGACACAAATCGTGCACCATGCAGACATCTCCATGCTGAGATGCCTGTTGGATGCACGACCTGGGCGGATTCTTTGTGAAGCCGGCACGGGCTCAGGCTCGGTGTCGGCCAGTCTTTGCCGAGCTTTACGTCCTGGAGGTCGGCTTTATACCTTTGAATTCCATGAGGAGCGACAGAAGCAAGCCGTAGCCGACTTCGAGACCTATGGAGCTTTAGACGTCATTGTCTCACAGCACCGGGATGTTTGCAATGAAGGCTTTGGCGAAGAGCTCCATGCAAAGGTGCATGGAATCTTCCTCGACCTCCCAGCACCATGGCTTGCAGTGCCACATGTTACGAAGTGTTTGGTACCAGGTGGTCGTTTGGTGACTTTTTCACCATGTGTGGAGCAGGTGGATAAGACTGCTGTAGAGCTGCGGCGCAGTGGTTACTTTGATGTACGCATGCTCGAGACCCTGGCAATGAATTGGGGTGTCCGGGATGCAAAAGCCAAGCGTCGTCGAACGACAGCGCAGGATAACAGCGCAGCCACCAATGCTGAAGTGCAGGATGAGGCGCAGGAATTGCAAGAAGAAGCTGCAGGGGCATCAACAGGAGAGCGCACATCTGGCAAAAGCAATGATCAATGGCTCAGCTACCAAATGCCAATGCGCTCCCACACGGGCTACCTTTTGGTGGCTACTCGAGCGCCAGACGAGCCAATGGATGCTGAGTGATGCTATGCCTGCGTGGTGCAGCACCATTGTCAAAAATGCGTGCGATGGCTCTGACACTCGTGTTTGTTGAGACCTCTTCGCTGAAGCTATGAATGTGTGCACCAGCAAGTGTAGTCTGTAATTCTTGATATGGTTTCAGCGACAAAGGAGTTAGTAATCTTTGGCAATTGGCTTTTTGCTGAACAGGTCTGACCCACAGAAACTGGCAAGACATGCTGCAGAGGACAGCATGCTGCCAAGAGCTTTCTTTTAGTGTGAGAGGTGAGTGGCATTTCGCTGGGACACCCTCCAAGATTTTCTGAAAAGCATCCTAAGCCGCAGTCAGCGGGGTAGGGGTGTTTGGATGTGTTTGGAGCCACACCGCAAATAGGGCCGAGTCGGCCATGATCCACTGGCGAAGGCGTTGACAACGACCTGCGTCTTTGCCGCCTGGTGTGCTGGGACGGATCGAACACAGACAGAGAGGATAACCGTACATGCACGAATAATATTATTGAATATAAATATAATATAATATAATAGTCCACTGCCAAATGATTCGGTTCACAGTCTCGTTCTTCCCGTTGGTCACTATATGTCACTATATTTGCTGCTTGAATCGATCTTGACAGGTTCAAGATGGTTCAAGAAAGGGTTCCATTTCCTTTTTCAGCAGCGGAGTGTTCAACAGGGATTGACAAGGACATGGTGTCCTGGACAGTCTCCCGGACACCTCAAACAAAGTCAAGTTCTGAAGGTACATGCGCGGGGAGTTGCCCTTGGTGGCCTTTTTGCCCATTGGGATCATGGGCGTCAGCTTGGCGCCGCTCTCAATGACAAGGTGTTGAAAGAGCAGAAATGGATGTAATTAATTAATTACTGTACATCGAGCAGAATAGAGCCGAAAGAGGTTCAATCACATAGGTCCGATGGGTCCTGCAGATTGCAAAGCCATGCTCGGCCTGTCAATCCAAACTTTGGACCTCAGCAACCGGAAATACACTTAATGACTTAATGATCAGGGCAATGTTCAGTGTGGAATCCAGGTGTTGAAGGTATTTTCAAGCAGACTGCTGCCACCTCAGCCGAGCTTGAGAGCTTGATTTCTAGCCGAGATGATGGAGAATTAAGTTTTTTTGGTCGGATTGCTTTGGTATGCTTTGGTTATGTCAAGAGGCCTGCTCTAGACCTCTAAACGGAAGAACGAACATCAACCTGCGCCCTCGGCTCTGAAATTCATGGGGCAAAGCGGTCCAACAACTTGCGCAAGATGTTTTTTGAACGGATGCCACTACAACCCATCATGAAAAACGGATCATTTGCTGCAGCCAGACACGCAGAAGAAGACTTGCAAGACATGCTTCTTGCTCCTAATAGCGATGGCCTCCACCTAATAGCGTCCTTGCTACTAGTAGATGCATGAAGAAGATACGACAAGAAATACGACCGGCTGGCTAAGGACCTGGTCCTGCGTGTGGGCTTTGTTTCGAGCCCTCCTAAGGCACAAGAACGGAATTCATCTAGAACGATATAATCAAAGTACGATATATCACGAAAGGTAGCCCTTTAGGGGATACCTTGAGTTTGTCTTGCGAAGCAAGTGTTGGGACGTCCGGGTCTAATAATTGATCGCTCAATTCAGACCCCCCCCACCCCCCCCCCCCCT